TTTAGTTAATGAAATATATCTTCTCATTGTTCACCCATGAAATATATTCATGGGTGAGTTTGGATAGAAGGCATTGTACATGCTTGCTTGACTGGGGTATCTCGGTTGAGCGCCGGTTGCGCTCCCCGAGGTCGGGGCGTGACACTGGATTACAACCTCACTTTGCCCACACGTTCAAATTAACTAAATAAACCTATCCTGAGACCTAGAACACCAATCGGAACACAATAATACCAAAGTCAACTCTCGATTAAACCTATGAACTTTTCAAAACCTTCAAACTACAGACTTTCGGCAAATAAAGCCAAAACCTTCTAGGAACCTCTGAACCGAAATTCGGACATAAGCCTAAGTCTAAAATAACCATATGAACCTATTGGAACCATCAAATCACCAAGCTGGGGCTGTTTACTGAAAATTCAACCTTGGTCAACTCTAGTAACGTAAGCTTCCAAAATGAGATTAAGTGTCTTATATCACTCCCAAACCTTCCTAAAACCAAACCAACTATCCCACAAGTCACAAAACAATAAACAAACTGACATGCAGCATCAAATAGGGGAATATGGCTTAATTACACAAAACAACCAGTGGGTCATTACATTTTCCCCCTTTTTAACAAACGTTTGTCCTCGAACTGGATTCAAATCACACCTAGAATGCGAAAAAGATGAGGTTATATGCTCTTCATATCATGCTCGGTCTTCTAAATCACTTTCTCAACTGGTTGACCTCTCCATTGATCCTTCACTAATGCAATATCTTTCGACCTAAACTTTCGAACCTGCTTATCCAAAATGGCCATGGGCTCTTTTTCATAAGCCAGATTCTTATCCAACTGCACTGAACTGAAATCCAACACATGTGACAGATCTTTATAAAACTTTCGAAGCATGGAAACATGAAATACCGTATGAACTCCCGGCAAGCTGGGTGGAAAAGCAAGTCTATAATCCACCTCACCAACTCTCTCCAAAATCTCAAATTGACCAATATACCGAGGGCTCAACTTTCCCTTCTTCCCAAATCTAATCATGTATTTCATAGGAAAAACTCTAAGAAGATCCTTCTCACTCTCCAAAAATGCAATATCGCAATCCTTCCTATCAGCATAAATCTTTTGCCTAGACTGCATTATACGAAGATGCTCATAAATCAACTTCACCTTCTCCAAAGCATCACGAACCAAATTTGTGCCCAATAACCTAGACTCATTGGGCTCAAACTAACCAACCGGAGACCCTCCCATATAATGCCTCATACGGAGCCATATGGATACTAGTCTGGTAGCTGTTATTGTAAGAAAACTCCTCTAAGGGTAGAAACTTATCCCATTGGCCTCTGAAATCAATAACACAGGCCCTCAGCATATCCTCCAAGATATGAATGTCCCGCTCAGATTGCCTATCCGTCTGAGGATGAAATGCGGTGCTCAACTCCACATGTGTGCCCAACTCATCCTGAACTACTCTCCAAAAGTGCGATGTAAACTGGGTGCCCTAGATCTGATACGATAGAAACAGGCACATCATGCAAGCGGACAATCTCTCTGATATAGATCTGAGTTAACTTCTCTAAAATTTAAGAATTCATGACCGGAACGAAGTACGCGAACTTGATCAGTTTATCCACAATGACCCAAACAACATCAAATCTCCTCAAAATTTATGGCAATCTAATCACAAAATCCATAGTAATTTGCTCCCATTTCCACTCGAGAATAGCTAATCTCTAAGTCAACGACGTAATTTCTTATGTTCATACTTGACCTACTGACAATTCAAACACCATGAAACATGCCCAACAATGTCTTTCTTCATCCTCCACCACCAACAGTATTATCTCAAGTCACAATACATCTTCGTAGCACCTAGGTGAATAGAAACCGCGAACTTGAGCCTCTTCAAGAATCAACTCCCTCAAACCATCCACATTAAGAACACAAATCCGTCCCTGAAGTCGCAATGCACAATGATCACCAATAGTCACCTCCTTAGCACAACCTCGAACCACTGTGTCCTTAAAGACGGGCAAATGAGGGACATTATACTGGCGAGTATTAGTGTGCTCAAATAAGGACAACTGCGCAATAACACAAGGACTCTACTTGGCTCAGAAATATCCAATCTCACCAATCAATTGGCCAATGCTTAAACATCCATAGCTAAAGGCCTCTCTCCAACTAGAATGAATGCCAAACTTCCCATACTCTCCGCCTTCCTACTCAAGGCATCTGCTACCACATTTCCCTTCCCCAAATGGTACAAGTGAGTGATATCATAATCCTTTAACAACTCCAACCACCTCCACTGCCTCAAATTCAAATTATTTTACTTGAACAAATGGTGAAGACTCCATTGATCAGTGTAAACCTTACAAGACACTCCATATAAGTAATGCTTCCAAATCTTGAGGACCTGCACAATTATTGCTAACTTTAAATCGTGAACCGGATAATTCTTCTTATAGGGCTTTAACGGGCGCGACGTATATGCAATCACCCTACTCTCGTGCATCAGCACGCAACCAAGGTCAACACGCGAAGCATTAGAATAGACAGTATATATCCCCGATCCTGAGAGTAATACCAACACTAGGGTCAGGGGTCGTGGTTGGGGGTTGTGGTCGAGATTAGGATCAGGTCAGATTGGGGTGGAGAGTTATTTTGGGGTTGGGGGTCAAGGTCAAGGTCAAAAGGGTCAGGTCAAATATCGAGGTTGGTCAAAGATGGAGGTTGAGTGTTAGAGTCAAGGTTAAGAAGGTCGAGGGTCGAAGTTGAGGATCGGGGTAGGGGTTAGAGTCGGGTTAGGCCGAGATATGAAATATGAAGGATAATAGGTTGAGGTCAGGGTCGGGTTGAGTTATGTCAAAGGTTTGGTGTCGGGGTCGATCGGGTCATGATCTAGTATTAGGTTCATGGTCGAGGTAGATTAGGGGTCGGGGTCGAGAAGATAAAGGGTCAAGTTTGGGGTTGAGGGATCAAGGATAGGGGTTGAAAGGGTCGAGGGTCAGACTCTTTGAGGATCAATGGTGGGAGTCACAGTCTAGTCAGGTCAGGAGTCGATATAGGAAGGACTGAGGGGTCGAGGTAGGGGTTGATTCGGGTTGGGTATTGGTGGTCAAGGGTGGGCTTTGACGCCGGGTCATATTGAAGGGGCAGAAGGGTCAAGGTTGCGGGCATGGGTTGAGGGAGAGGTTAGGTCAATGGTTAGGGTCGATAGGGTCAGGTGTCAAGGTCGAGGTCAGATATTGGGGTCAAGCGAGTCGAGGATTAGGTGTCGAGGTTGGGGCTGAGTTAGGTGGAGGGTTAGGCTTGTGAGGGTCAAGAGTTGGGGTCGAAGGTTAGGGGTGCTCGTTAGAGTCGAGTCAGGTAGGGGTTAGGGGTCAGGATGTGGGTCGAGGTAGAGGTCATGTCAAGGGTCATGGTCGAGAAGGTTAGTTCTCAGGGTCGGGGTCGAGCGTTGGGGTCAAGAGGGTCAAGGATCGGGTATCGGGGCTGGGGTCGAGTTAGGACGAGGGTTAGTATTGTGAAGGTCAAGGATCGGGGTAGAGGTTGCGGGCCGGGATCAGGGACCGATAGTAAAGGTTGGAGTTGGGTCAGGTTGGGGATCGGGTTCGAGTCGGGTGTGATGTGGAGGATCAGGGTCAAAAGAGTTGGGGATCTAGTGTCGGGATCGGGTCAGGTTGGTTGTCGGCATTGGAGTTGAGGGGGTCGATATTAGAATATAGGTTAAGGTCGGGTCGAATCGGGGGTTGAAGTAGTTCGAAAGGAGGATCGGTGTCGAGGGTCGAGGTAGGAGCAGTGGTCGAGGTTGAGGGTGGTGGGATGGTGTGGGGGGGTTTGGCAGTGCATGCGGTTGATGGGGTATGTGGTAGTGGGGGTCTTTGGTTGGCCAAGAGGCCGAGGTGGAGGTAAGGGTAGGGAGTCTGGGTTATAGGGGTGGTAAGGTTGGCGGGGTGAGGGGATGCGGGATTGTGGAGGGTTGAAAACATTGTTGGAGAGTTCCAAAAAATGTTTTCCCTTACTAGGAAAATCATTTTCTTCTAATTAGGGAAAAATGAGTTCTTAAGAAAAATATTTTAGAAAATATTTAAGCCAATATTTTCTTCCATACTAAACACACCAAGAGTCTTGAAAAAGTAGAACCTTTAACTAACCCTTTAATGATCGTAGGAGGCGCCAATCAAGTTTGTCGCGCAAGTGAGTTCCAAATATATATATATATATATATATATATATATATATAACCCTAAGGGACTTGGATTAGCCATCACATTGGTGTACGAATGAATCTCACAAAAAATGTAGTTAGAATTTGCTACTGAGGAACAAAAGATAATGCAATCTTTCGTTATAACATCAAAATTTATTCTTTCCCCATTATTATAAGAAAAATTGACAAATATAAACATTTCATGTTGGCACTTACTGACGGAACGTTCATTAATAGATATGATATTCATGTCAGGCTTGAAATGCTAATCTCATTAATCCACAGCAGGCACCGTGCCATTCGAATACTGGAAACACCTTTCTTTGTTGTTCCAAATAAAGAAAAACAATGCACAAAATGTTAAACGCGAGGAGGGAAGTGGCTAATGGTGAGCGAAAAGCTCCAAAATAAAAAAACGTAGGGCTTGAAAGGAAAAGCGAGTGGTGAAGCGCACATTTTACAGAGATTAAAAAGAAAACCACGGATATAAGAACTTAACACTATAATTATCAAATTTCAGTTAAGCTAACTATTTACTGCATCCAATACACAGTAATACTAATATTAATCCAATTCATCAAAGTTGAGATTCAAAAAATCATTCGCATCACGTCAGGATTACTTTGAGCGTTGTTGTTTGAAGCGCATAGCGTTGCCAATAAAGCAATAATCCTTCGCTTCACATTTCTTCAAACGACGAAGCAATGACTTTTAATAGCACTAGAGGCTAAATAGAAAATACAGCGTGTTCTCTAATCTTTACAAGAAAGAGAAGAAATGCACAAAGAAGGGAACCGAAATGTCACATTAATGAACAACAAACACTGTGTAGGCACAAGAATGAAGTTTTATGACACAAGTAAACAGAGCCGCTTAAATCCAAACAAATATTTTCTTTTTTCAAATTTGGTCTATGATTTTCTTTATTTCCAAATCTTGTCTATGTAACTCAAACTACTTCTGTACAGAAACATGAATAAGAGGAAAACATGTTATCTACCATACCAGCCTTGTGGCGGCCGGCATTCCCCATTATTCATCAACTTGTCCAACACCACATTCAAATCAACTGACTGTCCATTCTCTGTCAATCTCCGCACCGTTGCTCTTACTTGGTCTCTTGAAAATCCCATATTTGTCACTTTATCAACTACATCATCAATAGGAACTCTAGTGCCAGTACGAGGAGAACTAGACCCACTACCAACTACAGAAGCGGTAGGTAGTGCTTGAGGTAATATTCTTGCTGTGGGGAGTTGCGGATAACCACTTCCACCACTCTGGCCCATTGCGGTCGAAAGAAGTGGCTGCGATTTCAAAGGGGAGTCACTGCCATGCTGGACAGGGGAACCGCTATAAGGATAAGATTCACCCGGGCCAGTGGATGGACCAGAAAATCCAGAAACCTGTCTGCCATATGGGGGCTCAAATATATTAGAGTGAGCTGCGTAAAACTGCTGGGACGCAGGGGCTCCACTTGCTGGATTTGAGGGAGGTTGACTGGTATTTGGTAGTGGATAATTCTGCGATGCTATATGATGTCTCTCCTCAGGATGACGGCTCAATGGAGGTTGAGGTTGTGAGTGATTAACAGATGTATAAGGCGGATGCCCTTGAAGAGGTGGAGATGGCTGCGAGTACGGTGGTGAAGGCGAAGGCTGATACCCTTGATGTGGATGTGGTGGGATAGAGGTCTGTGGCTGCTGCGGTGCCAGCAGCTGGTACTGCTGACTAGAGTTTCCTGGTGCTCGACCAATCGGTGGGAAATAAGTTTCATTTTGAGTGCCAGAAGAAATTGGGTTCTGGGCCAACTGGTTCTGAAGCTGAACTTGAGATAGCGAATTCTGTTGCGGAGGGGATGGAGGAGCATTAGGTGGAGGAAGAGTGAAAGGCGGTTGAGCAAGCGCTAAAACAGGGGGAAATTGTTGGTGAGACAGAACAGGAGCAGATGACCTAGGTTGTGCTGAGTCCACGTGTGTAGTATTGTGGGTGTCTACTTCCTGCTCAAGCTTTGGAACTTGAAATCTTGCAAGCTGTAGTTGAGTATCCATTATATCCTGTTTATTCTTTATGACCTGTACACCATCTTGCACCTACATGAAATTTGTGTAACTAGAAGATAACATAGCTCATAATGATGATACAAAAAGAAAAAGGAAACAGGTAAAATTTTGTCTTCTTCTTTTTTAGCCCTTTTAGTAAATATTTCATTATTTTTATTCTTTTTATCGGTTAAGTTTTCAATCTACTTTGAAACAGATATAAAAGCAAGTTAATAATTCATCAAGCAATCACCAAACGAACCTTATGATAAGTTTCATTCGACATGCCATCGGAATGATTCTTCCCTTCCATAATAGGGAACACACAGAATATCCTCTCTTTCAACTTCAGCAAATAAAAAAAGTTCCAGCAAGTCCAACAGTTCTTGATAACATTGATCCATTTCCAAATTATGATATCTCCATTTTTAAATTTGAAGTGATACGCCACGGTCAGCCTAGAATATAAATAGCATAGTATTGTCTACGCAGCAGACACTAATACATAATATCAAAACTCAAGAACAAAAACCATCATACTATAGCAAATTGATAACAATTGTCAGAACATCTGTATAGCTCAAATCTAGAATTACTTTTGACACAACAACAACAACAACCCAGTATAATCCCACGAGTGGGGTCTGGGGAGGATAGTGTGTACGCAGACCTTACCCCTACCCTGGGGCAGAGAGCCTGTTTCCGATAGACGCTCGGCTCCCTCCCTCCAAGAACTCCCCACCTTGCTCTTGGGGTGACTCGAACTCACAACCTCTTGGTTGGAAGTGGAGGGTGCTCACCACGCAACCCACGAGTGGGGTCTGGGGAGGATAGTGTGTACGCAGACCTTACCCCTACCCTGGGGCAGAGAGCCTGTTTCCGATAGACGCTCGGCTCCCTCCCTCCAAGAACTCCCCACCTTGCTCTTGGGGTGACTCGAACTCACAACCTCTTGGTTGGAAGTGGAGGGTGCTCACCACGCAACCCACGAGTGGGGTCTGACACATTGCTTAATAATAGCATTCTCTCCTTGCATGGCTTTGAATTGTACCAATATTCTCCCACACCTACATGCTGAAACGCCTTAGATAGAGAGACGTAAAAGCTTAAAACCACAAGAAACTGCCCAAAACTTATTCAGCAGACATAAGAGTATATTTATGCAAAGGGTATTGCTCTCGGAGAAAGATATTAAAAAATAGATGAGCCAGTAATACAAGAGGCAAAATGCAATATTCCTAAGATTCGTGTAAAAATGGGCAAGAATCCAGAAAAAATAAATATATAAATAAAAGAAGCTCATATATAATCAACAAAGGATAAAACAATGCAGCCTACACTTACCCAGCTCATAGAGCAGTTTAGTCAAAACATATAGAAGAAGTTATATGAAAGATGATACCGCTCTGAAAATACTTTCCACCAGTTTCAGTTTTCCGTCAGTGCTCCCATGGTTGGTATCAACAGAAAGCTTGAGGTCATCAAGAGAAGTTTCAATCTGGCGATTTCGAGTTTCTACTTGTGATAGTCGAGCACTCACGCTCTCTATTGCAAGTAGAAGACTATCAGCGTACTTTTTCACTGTATGATCAATTTCAAATAACAAAGATGAATCAACAGTTTTCAGATCTTTATCCACAATGAGTTTGGCCGGTGCAAGTGAGTCAAGAGAACCATAATTCTGCATTGAATTACGTTAATTACAATACAAGATACATATCATTGACAGAACTTATGCATAGTTCCATAAACTGGCCCAATAAAGCAAGTAGATATCCAACCAGATTCAGCAGAACATAAAAGAGAAGTGAAATGAGAAAGAGATTAAAAAAGAACGATACTGCCTCATAAGGTCCTCAAGCAATTAGAGCACATACGATACCAGGAGTATCGTGGGCATGTACATGTCCTTTTCTTGCTGATGCTTTTTAATTTAAGAATCTTTATCATAGCAACAGATATTTGGATAACTACAAGTTGACCATTCTTGCTCATAAAACTCGCCAAGCAAAAGATTGTTTTTATATGATATACTACTAGCTCACTTGGTGCATCATCTAGATGTGCCAGAAGCCCAGAACCCACCTTGCTTGGAAGTTGGAACTGAAGCAATTATTGTTGTTGTGACAGTAGCCCTAAAACAACAAAAAGGTCAGTGACCACATAATGGTCAAGTGGTTCACAACAAGCTAAATTAATACGGTTCAATAACCAAAACCATTCAGACAGAGCTATAACAACAAACTTCAATACCAATTCTCATAGGCAAAGTCAAAAATTTCCGCACTACAACACTAATGAACTACAAAGGACGCAACAAATAGAGAAATATCTAAGCTCCACACCAACACAACTAGAAATCAAAACTAGTCATCAACCAAAGCCCATACAAGAGAATCAAACAGAGCAAGTGTTCATTGCATTGTCAAAGACAGATTCAGGATTTTAAGCTAGTGGGTGCAGAATAATAGTGTGCCTACACTGCTACTGAAAATATAGTACATTATAAGTTAGAGTTTAAATTCTATACATTGACGATGTAAAGAATACTTGCAAAATCAGGTCTTTTATTAGGTAATTACATGTAAATCTCCTGATAAGTATTAATTGGTAATCTCGTAAAAATGACAACTAACTAGTTATCCAAGGTTAAAAATCATTGATAGTGTAAAATCACTGTCTGTGTAAAGAATGTTTTACACTATAGGATATTTATAGGAAGGCTCCTTAAAATGTGGATTTGTAATCTTATAAAATAAGGCAAGACAGGTTACTTGATACAACAGGTAAAGAGGTAAAGATGGCCAGATGGTGAAAAAATTCCTTACACTAACTATGTATATATTTCCACTCTAATTGGTAATTTGGTAAAATGATAACTAAACTACTATCACATGTTAAAATTTACTGATTTTATACTATCAGGGCATAACTTAAATCCGTATAAGAAAATAATTGTAATATTCTTAAAAATACAGAATACTACTGGAGAAGGAGCGATTACTCTGATGCTAGCAGTTTTGCTTTTAAATTCAGCAGAATTCCAAGCCCTAGCTCCAGTAGTATGACCCGAATCAATATTAGATTTTGGCGGCGATGATCCAGTTGGGCGAATCGGGTGGGATTCGTAACTCGGAACAATACTTTCCCCCTTTGTACCGCCGCTAATGTCCTGGTGAGGGTTCATGAGGTTGATGAAGTCATTGTTGCTCTGTGAATTTGTTAGATCCATGATCTGCTTGTCCATATACTGCGATGTATTCATCGATGGTGTAGTGTACATATGTAAGCTTTGCTTTGTTCTTGTGATTTTGGATTACTTGCGCTTAAAACTATAAAGTTTGTTTTATCTTCTTCTTTTTTTTGGTTCTTTTGCTCCCTTTTTTGACGCTCGGTTCACTGTTGCTTCTTAGGTGTGCCAAGCATTAGGCCTACACAGAAACCCTTAAAGGGCATCTACACAGAAACACAGAAACATGTGATGACCCAAAAGCTCGTCTTATGTTTTAGAATTCGAATCTGAGCTCTTAAGCCTTATAAATCTCATTTTTGTCCTTCTCGATTTGCGTGCGCAGTCCAGGCAGGTTTTCGGAAAGCGTTTGCGTTGAAAACTAATAAAAATAAAAAAAATTACCTAAAAAGTTGATTTTTGTTGACTTCGGTCAACATTTTTGGTAAACGGGCCTGGAACTGTGCTTTGACGGTCCCGGTAGGTCCGTATCGAATTATGGGACATGGGCGTATGCCCGAAATTGAATTCGGAGGTCCCTAGCTTGAGTTATGAATTTTTGATGAAAATTAAAAGTCTGAAAATTATTTGTTTTTAAGAATTGATTGATATTTGGCATTGTTAGTATCGGGTCCGCATTTTGGTTCCGGAGCCCGGTACAGGTTCATTATGATATTTAAGACTTGTCTGTGAAATTTGGTGAGAAACGGAGTTGATTTGACGTGATTCGGACGTCCAATTGAGAAGATATGAATTTTAAAGTGTTCTTTAGAATTTCATTTGATTTGGTGTTAAATTCGTAGTTCTAGGTATTTTTTTGGCGATTTAATCGCGCGAGCAAGTTCGTATGATGTTTTTAGACTTGTGTGCATGTTTGGTTTGGATTCCCGAGGGCTCGGGTGAGTTTCGGATAGGCCACGGGATGTTTTGAACTTATAAATTTTGCTGGTATAAATGAACCTATTGCAGGCCTCTGATCTCGCAATTGCGAGATCAGGCATCGCAAATGCGAACATAACAGGGTCCGCAATTGCGAGGCTTTCATCGCAAATGCGATCAGAAGCCTGGGCCAGCAGTTCTCGCATTTGCGAGGTTACCTTCGCAATTGTGAAGGGAATCTGGGAAGGGCAGGTTCGCAAATGTGAATATTTACTCGCATTTGCGAGGTTCAGTGGTCGCAAATGCGACACTTTCCTCGCATTTGCGAAGGCATGGGGATTGTGAAGGGCATCGCAATTGCGATTGTTCCTTCGCAATTGCGAGCTTCGCATTTGCAAAGCTCATGTCGCAATTGCGACACCTGCAGCTGAGTAAAAGGGGTTTAGACGGGATTTTTTATTTATTCTTCATATTTTCAAAACCCTAAACCTTAGGAGGCGATTTTCCAAACACCAAATCTTCCCCAAATCATAGGTAAGTGATTCCTAACTCTTTTCTTTCAATCTTTTACATCTTATAACAAGATTTCAACCTAGAATCTAGAATTTTTATGGTGAAATTATGATTTTTGGGTAGAACTTAGGAATTTCGAAATTTAAGGATTTAGACTCCAATTTGAGGTCGGATTCCAAAACTAATTGTATATCTGGACTCGTCTCGGAATGGGTGTTCGGATTTCGTAAGTTTTTCCGAGATTTGAGACGTGGGTCCCACTGTCGAATATTTTAATGAATTTCGGATTTTATCCGAAAAATTAGTAAATTCATATGGAAGTAATTTCTATGATTCGTATTGAGTATATTGAATTGTTTGTGAATAGATTTGAAGCTTTCAGAGACAAATTTAAAAGGAAAAGTTGTGGTTGAGTAATTGATTGGAATTTGCAAAGCGAGGTAAGTATCGCGGTTAACCTTGACTTGAGGGAATAGAACCCTTAAATTAATTGTTATGTGAATTGCATGTGAACGACGTATAGACGAGGTGACGAGTGTCTATACGTCGTCAAATTAATTGTTTGCCTTATTACTTGAAAAATCATAAATTATTTTAAATCATGAATTAATTATTATAATAACTATTTCTCTCCTATTCTTTGTCAAATATTAATTCTTGAATTTCTGCATTAATTGTTACATGCTATTTGAATTATGTGTCTTAATTGTTATTTGACATTTAGCATATTAAATATTAAATTGCCTATTTTCTCTCTGATTTCTATTATAATTTGCTATTTGCCTTTGTTTGTTTCGTAATTAAATCATAATTATTGTATGCTTGTTGTCTTATAATTTTACTTTAATTATTGCATTTATTGGGAAAATTCTTCTATAAGAATTGGTAAATGAATATGTTGGAGAAGCGGGTTGCACGCCGCAACGGGATTGATTATAATGAATATATTGGAGGATCGGGTTGCACGCCGCAACAGAATTAATTGTAATGAATATATTGGAGGATCGGGTTGCATGCCGCTACAGACTTATTAAAAGTCCATATTGGAGGATCGGGTTGCACGCCGCAACAGACTTATTAAAAGTCCATATTGG